TTAGCATGGGTTCATTCCCAGCACCACACACACAAAAAAATGTATATATATATATATATATATATATATACAGGTGTTCACAGCAGATGATTATTACTTTAGACATGCTTCTGTGCATATTTTGTTAAAATATAAAAAAAATAATTTCAAAACAAAGCTCTACACATTAAATTTTATTTATTAAAATGTTATTTTGTGGCATTGGGGTTGTGGCTCAGTGGTAGAGCACTCACCCAGCACATGTGAAGCACTGGGTTCGATCCTCAGCACCACATAAAAAAATAAAAAATAAAGGTATTGTGTCCATCTACAGCTAAAAAATAAAGTATTAAAAAATGTAATTTTCTGAATTTAACATTACTGAATTTTAGATATATTTCTTTGTCATAAGATCTAAGTTACGACAAAAGATTATAAAATCCCATGAAAAATTTGGAGCTTTTCAAGTTTAGACAGTATTATTCGACTTCCTGCTGTGAAAGATGAGCTACGTTTTCTGAAATGGCTTTTTATGTAAAAATAAATAGTAAATAGGCTCTTAAGAATACAGTTCTTTTAAATGAAGTAAAAGAAAAAAAATTACCCCACTCCTCCACTTAACTAGCCAGATTACCAAATTTTTTTTAAAATGAGGTAAAAAAAATTTAACTCAACTCCTCCACGTACCCAGGTTTGTGACTTTGATCACATGAAATCACATCTGATTCTCTGAAAAATTGGAGATCAAATCACAAGGTTTTTGAGAAAATTTAATGGGCACATGCCCGAATAACTTACATGACCTGCTTTATCTGTGTGGTTGCAAATATGTGATATCTTATTAATTTTTCCACAAACTTGTTCAAACCTTCCACCTCCCCTTTTTAGTAATGAATCTTAAATCCTCCTTGAGAGTCTTTTCCAAACACAGACTGATCTAAAATCCCCCAGGGCCAATCCACACTGCAGCTGTGATCTGGGGCCATGTTCCCCATGAGGCCCACTGCCCAGGGACCATCAGGAGGGACCAGGCACAGGCCTCATTTGTGCCCATCAGCCATCTTTTATCTTTACTCTTGAGCTCAGCTATCGTTTTGAAAACTCAACCCCTGTGCCAGGATGGCTTCAGGGGGTGCTCCAGTAGAGACAGTGTGCCAGGGGTCCCCAAGGCCATCCTCAAGGATGATGACTCACTAGAAGGACTCACAGAACTAAGAAAAGCAGTCACACTCATGGTTACCATGTGTAACAGTGAAGGAAACCAATTAATCTCAACAAGAGAAAAAGCCCAGAGGTGGAGTCCAGGAAAATACTCCCATTGCCCTCTCTCTGTGGAGTCACATGGGCAGGGATTCATTCTCCCAGAAATAACATGCAACAATATATGGGGAGTATTACCAACCAGGGAAGCTCACTTATGCAACGAAAAGTGGTTTTTATTAGGGGTCAGTCACGTAGGCATGGAGCGCCCATATGACTGACCTTAGCTTATTAAGATCAGACCACCCCCACGCCTGCCTCAGATCAGACTGATACAGCGTAGTCCTAAAACCCCAGGTATACAAATCCAGGTGTTTCACCATATAGCACATTGAGAACATAAACTCTGACATGGCCCAAGCTGTTGGGTACACAGACTCTCCCCAAGCAGGATACCCCAGGGCCCAGAGGATGTCTCCCAGGAGCTGGTCAGTGCCCGTGGTTCCTCTGGAATGTAGGGAGTTTGAGCATCTCAGTCCTTCTGAGTTAACTCTACTGCACAGGCAGGAAGCTAGCAGGTTAGCAGCTGGGAGACTTGTCTTAATTTCTAAAAGTTGGAGAAGACATTGTCCACGCTAAGAATGGGGAATCAATGGCACTGCTCCAGTGCCGTGCCAGGGTGACCAGGTCAGAAGGGGCTACCAGGCTTGGCGTATGCTGTGGGACATCAAAGCTTCTTTCCAAATCCAAGCCTGGAGATAAGCTGCAGTGCCAGGCCAGACTTCCCCTCCATTGTGGTGGCTTCCTGTCAAGTCCTTTCCTTCCCAGGTCACCTCCTCCTCACAGAGAGGTTCTAAGACCAAAGCTACTTGGCCCCCAAACAAACACTCCTCCCCTGTAACCAGCTTGTCGCACCCAACAGACAGTTCATCCCTAACAAGGCCACAAAAGAGGCTATTATGTCTTTGGCTCAAAGCCATAGGTTTCTATGAGCCTTGTATACACCTGCCTAAAGGCCACCTCTCCAAATAATAGCCTTTGCTGTGGTGGTTCCTCAAGAAGCTAAGCAAAGAAGTAGCATAGGACCGGCAACTCTCTCCCTAGATGAAATTCCAATCCAAAAGAATTGCAAGCAAGGAGCCAAGCAGGTATTTGCACACTCGTGTTCATAGCAGTGTTAGTTGCAGAGCTAGAAGATGAAGGAACGCAAGTGTCCATCAACAGATGAATGGACAAGAATATGTGGTTACACCCACCCAGTGTATTCTTCACCATAGAAGAATGACATCTTGATAAATGCTACAACATGATTGTACCTTGAAAACACCATAGTGAATGTGACAAACCAGACCCAGAAGGACAGAAGTGGTTCGATTTTGCTTCCACAGGTGCCTAGAGTAGTCAAATTCATTGAGACACACAGAGGAATAGGTGCTTCCAGAAGCTGTGGGGAGGCAGCCACAGAAAGCTATGTTCAGTAACAATACAGAGTTTCTTTGGGGTGGATGCAAAGATTTGGGGGAAAGGTAGTAGTGATGGCTACACAACATGGTAAATGTATTTAGTGCTACTGAACTGTAATGTTACAAGGACTTAAAATGATAATAGCACTTTATATGTATTTCACACAATTTAAAAAAAAAAATTCCTGGTGAGTGACAGAAAATCCAGCTCAAATTTGCTTTGGTATATAAAAAAGTCAGTGTCTCTGACTCTGTCCGCTGGATGTCAGGTGGACGCGTATTGAGGGAGCCCCTGCCCAGGCCTCCCTGCAGCCCGTGTGTTATTGTAATGAGCAGAGCTTCATGTGCTTTTAGTAACCGCAGTGATGAAGACGACCTCCCTCCAGACCTGGCCGAGGCGGTGGGAGTCACCACAGCCCCAGCCACAGACTCCACCACAGCTGCCACACAAGCCTCAGTGCCACTGGTGTCCCCCAAGCTCCAGAAAGTCAGCTCACCTCACAAGTCAGAAGGCAAGAGCCTGCTGTCTCCAGCGGCCAAGGTATGGCAGAAGTACTAAGGGTCAACCGCTATGTGCTGGGCAGGCAGGGTCCTTTGAGTGAGTGGCTTTCGGTGTGTGCACTTAAATTTTGCGTGATGCTTTTTGTGTATTCAGATTTGAAAATGTCAAGACATGTTTTCATGTACCCTGTCCCCGAAATATGAGCCAGCCATTTGTGGGAGACATGCTCTGATCTAAAGCCACACACACTGTACTTTAAGAGCAATTTAAATGAATTCTTGGGGGCAATTTTGGTTTAGAATATCATTTTACATAAGCTATCACTCTACTGTAATGACAGCAAGAGAGAAACATCCCCCCCCCCCCCACTCCATGATGGACAACTTGAAGGAATAAAAACAGACTTATCTCCATCCCATTCCTTTTACAAAATAAACCATGTTAAAAATTTGAAGATGGGAAATATTACTCTTTATCAGTTTGAAATTTCAGAAAATCGCCAGAGATGGGAATGGAAAGTAACAAAAAATGTCTCTTACCTGAGACATTTCCCTTGATTTTCTCTGAGTGACCTTTAGCAGTTGGTCACTCTTGGGCAATTGGTCCAAACACAGACAAACCTATTGCTGTCCAAGTGGCTGCTGAGTCAAAGGTTGTTTTGGTCCGTGCACCTGCACAAGGAAAGGTGTGCACGCAGGACAATTGTCCTGAAGGCAAGACCAGAGCTCTGATCAGTTCCCAGGTGCTCCATTCACAGGCCTTGTGACTGCTCACTTCCAAAGCTGTTTTTCCTCCAAGACTCAGTTGCCTCCACCTAAGATGAGAAGGTCTGCTCCTTCGCCCAGCCCAGGGGCTGGCATCCGGTCTCTGAACTGGATGCCTGAGGCTTCTGCAGTTTTCAGGGTCACAGTTCTTGGCAGTATCTACATAGCAATAGTCCAAGCCCATATCCCGCATGCCCAAGGCTGGTCTTTCCCTGGTCCTTTCCCCAGGAGTCTGGACCAGACACAGGAATGTGGCTGACACCCGCAGCCAGTGACTGGCTGAGACTGAGGTTCTCTGCATTTCTGCAGATCACCTCCTGGCATCCTAAGTTGGGTTTCTCTTCACAGCAGAGAGTCCTCTTATAACTTGGTCTCAAGTGTGGACACAGGCTCCCATCACAGATCCTCCAGCTGGTTAAACCCAGGCAGAAATATTTACAAACAGAAGGGAGTGGTGCTGGGGAGGCAGGGAAAGCAGGCGACATCCTTCCAAAGGCCTCAGGGCTCCCTCTCCTGGCCATCTCTCCCCTTAGGGCCCTGCTCATATCAGGTCGATGGCTCCTTGTTTTTCCTCCCCTCGAAAGGGCCTCGGGATCACCCATGCAGCTAAGACCCCAGAGCAGGAGGGACAAAATGTTTTCCAAAACCAAGGAGCATAATGTTCAGAGGTGCCACCCCCACCCACACCATGGGCATCTTACCCTTTTTTTCCTGCAGATCAGTTTAGCTCCTAAAGGCCAATTGATCCTCCCCTGCAGGACAGCCCGCTCTCTCGGTATACATTCAAAGGACTCTTTAAAGCCTTTTCCCGAAAGACCAATCAAAGAACACTCAGAAAACTTAAGAAAAGTTGTTTTCAGCTCTAAAAAGGACACTTCCCCACCCCGTGCCCTACTTCTATCTATAAAGATTCCAGAAAAAAAAATTGGGGTTCAGTCTCAACATTTTGTGCACTGATGAGCAAGGGAGATGTGGGGGGTGGGCATCCTGATGAGCTCAGTGTTAGCAAGTGGGTAGAGGGGAAGTGGACCACCATCTTTCTGGTGCATTTACTGCCAATCCAGAGGCATTGCTAACAGGGGATATCTTTACCTTTGCAGAGCCCCTCTGACCGGGGAGGGACCTTTACCTTGGAGCCTGGAGATCTCCTGATGGATTTCACAGAAGCAACTCCTCTGGTAAACTTCCTATTTTTCTAAAACAAGAAAAGCCACAGCCCCTAGCAACATCTTGGCAGAGGTCTGGGTGGAGAGTGCTTCTAGGAGGGCCCTTCCTCTTATCTAGGAGGCACAGGGAGTACCTCCTGGGGTGGAGATTCAGGCACCTTGGGTCCCACACCTCTCAGTCCTGGAGGAAGGGCTGCCCCTCTGGGGGTGGGGGTGGGGGGGCCCACCCTCGCCTGTCTGCTGCTCACAGGGCTTCTCCGTGCTTGGGTCTTGGCTTTGTGGCTTCCTGGGCTGTGCCCTGCATGCCCACCCATCTCTTGCTCTTGCTTCCACCAATCTGTCTGGTCTAAAACAGTGGCTCGAGCCTGAACCCTGGCTTTCCAGGCCCCTTGTGCCTCTGACTATCATCCATCTTCTGCATTCAGGTCTCCCCTTGTGGGTAGTGGCCCTTATGAGAGTCTTTCGGGTGAGAAACCCTTTTTAAAGGACAGAGCACTGAAGCAGAAATCACACAGCCAGGTCCTGTGTGCAGTCTGTACTCCCCCTTTGAAAAGCCTTGTCACTGGACAATCACTGCTCCATCTTCTATGAGATAAAGGATGCCATTGTTTGTCACAGGAGAGTTATAAGAATTTTATGAGCGCACACGCACATGCATGTGTGTCCTATGAGAACAGAAAGTGCCATAAAGATGTGCAAGGTATTATTACAGGGAAACTTGCTTATATCTTTGGCTGGGCTCAGTGCGGTACCCAAGTGTACTGGAGCATAAATCACAGTCCACCTTGTATTAAGCTTAAGTCACCACTTTGAGCTATAAGCCAAAATGTGAGCAAGTCAAGACCTATCTCCTAGGAGTTTGCTGCTTGCCTGTCCATGTGCTGGGCTGTGGGAATGGAGAGGACAGCTAGAGGTGGAGGGGATGTCAGGTTGATAAAGGCCATGAGCAATGTGAGAAGATGCTCAGGTAGAGACCAGAAGCTGGAGTCATTCAGGACCCACTTGCTAGAGGAGGATTGAGGTATTTAGGAGAGATTTCTGGAAGGTTTTCCAGAGAGGACACATGGGACCCACCACTGCTGACCAGCTGGCATAAGGAGATCATTGACACAATTGCCTGTCTCATCGGGACAGTTGATGCAGTCTGAGAGCTTTGGATAAACAGCTGACAAGTGACAATGGGTGACCCCTGCTCTGGTCAATCCAGAGTTAGACCCTTCCTGTGTCAAAGTCGCAGAATGATTCACAGCCTCCTTGTTAGACAGATTGCCAAGACTGTGGGAGGACCCCTTCCTCTTCCCTCTGCCTTTCAGAGGTGGTGACCCAGAAGCAGAGGCCCTTTCGGCACCACTTCATCACCCTTATGAACTGCCACTTCTGTGGGACCTAATATTTAACTGTACCTGGAGGCAATGGGAAAGGGAGGCTCACGGAGCCTGGGTTTTAGAGTATGAATAGGAGTTTGCCTGGTGAAGAAAATGAACCCAGACATTCTAGGTAGAAAATACAGCATGATCAAAGTACTGAGAATTTAATAAAGGGTCTGGTGGATCTTAGAAAAAGGGTCAGTTTATAAAAATAATACACAGTGGGCTTTCCAGGAGTGGTAGGATTCCTTTGGAGACTTGTACTGGGAATGCAGCTGGTAGATTTCATTACCTGTGGAATTAAATTATCTGTTTTCGTTTGGATGTTACACACTGAGATGAGGAAGAAAGCAGCATGTGGCAGGAACTCAGGGATCTGCTGACCCAAAGTCAGTGACAGTCCTGCCTCTGCTGGCGCCCCCTGCAGCACCAGGAAGCTCACTCCTCTCCTTGGGAAGCCCCGCCTATATGTTGAGCAACTCTGACTAGCTCTCAATTAGGGTTCAGCGTGCTGCACTGCCCAGGCCTGGACAGGGGACATCCTTGTACCACACTGAGACACAGCTGCCCACTGAGGTCTGCAGTGAATATGTGTGCTCAGGACGGGTGCCTTTTGTCTTGGGGCACGAGCAGCCCACAATGCCTGGCATTTTGGCAAGAGCCCACTCTGCTATGGGCTTTCCTTGGTGCCCGGCTCTGACTGCACTTTGCTCAAAATGAATCCTGTTCCCATGAGGGTCAGTGGATCCTAGAGAGGAGGAGGGGAATGTGGGCAATCTCCTACTCCTTTTGGCTGATCCCCTCCCCTCCATCCCCTCCTCTCAGCATCTCAGAAATACAAAGCCAGCCCTCTCACCTTGCCAAGGGGAGAGCAGACTCAGGGCTAGGGGCATCACAAGCACCAGTGCACCTGTAGCCATGTTCACCATCTCCAGGTCAGCATCCTGCACCTGATGGGGGAGGCTGCAGAGGGGCTTCTTAATCCACCACAGGAAGGAGCTGGGACCAGAGGGAAGTAGTGTATGCCTGACTAGTAGCCAGGACTTCCTTGAGCTCTTGCATCTGACCTGTCAGTGGGAGTGGTGCCTTGGGACCATCTCTTCCCTTTCCTCCCCTACAAATGGGGAAGCCAGGCAGGGCTGGGGATACAGCTCAGTTGGTAGAGTATTTGGTTCACATGCACAAGGCCTGGGTTCAATCCCCAGAACCCCACCCCCCCCACACACACACACAGAAAAAGGTGGGGAAGCCAAGGTCCAGAGAAGACCAGACACTTGTAGCAGATCACACAGCTTGTCTGTGTCAGGGTCAGCACTGGAACCCAGGCCCTGGGCTGCTGTTTCAGCACATTTCCCAGTGGCAGATGGTCTGAGCCAGGATGTGTCTCTCTTTCCCCATTATCCAGTCAGATTCCCTGGCCCCATCCCTATCCTCCACAGCCCAGGCTTTGGGAAAATTCTGGGACCATCTCCAAGTTGTCAGCCCAGGTTTGGTCCCCAGAGTTGCTAAGTAGGGCGTGGGGATGGGAGGTACCCGGTACCTTGGTCTGACTCAGCCTGGACGAGGGGTGGTTCTGCCAGCTCTGTGCCCTTGGCCTCTGGCCTTGTCTCTGGGTTCTCCTTAAGCATTTCCTTGGGAAGAGGAAGAAGCACTTTATGGGGCAAGAGTGTCAAACTCCCCAGGTGATGCCCATCCCTCGTGAATATTTTCCTGGGCAGTCACTTCCCAAGCTCTAGCCCTCTCCCTCCTCTAGCTGAGATTCCTGAAGTCCTCATAATCCTTGAGCCAGCACTGGAAGGACAGGGAACTGGAGAGATTGGAACCGTACCAAATGTTCCTGCCTTTATTCAGGTATGTTCCACTGAGGCACCTGAAATCAGGTCTGATCTCTTTGGAGTGGTTTTTAGAGAAGCCCAGTCCAAAGAGGCAAGAGTAACAAGAAGGCCCAATCTTGAACTGTCATCTCTCAAAACATATTCAAGAAGATTAGATGAACTCCCCTGCACCATACGATAAAGCTCTTTGCCTCCTCTTTCATTCTCTTGCCTCCTGCCCTGCTCCAAGGACTTGGGTTCTGGAACTCTCCACAGAAGTGCTCCTTCCAACTTCACTCTTAAAGCATCTCCCCCTCCTTTTCCCAAAACTTTTCTAATCCCCGAATCTTGTGTTATGTAGCTCAGTTTAGCCATCCAAAGCCAGACACCCTTTGCAGCTTGATGCCTGCCGTCTCCAGCTCCGGCCTCAGAGTTCATGATCACAAAGAGTTCCTGTCTGGGACAGAGAGGTAGGGCGCGAGGGTGGAAAGGAAGAGGACAGTGACAGCACAGCACCTATCACTGGAATTCTCTCGGGTTGTGAGAGAGTACTGCAGGGGGGTGTTGGTGTCAATTGAGTCACTTGACTCTGGGGATGCAGAGCCGGCCCTCCTCCACCCTCAGGTACCACAAACCAAGCACAGCTACACCTCTGCGTTCTCGGGTCTCTGCACTTGGTAAACCATTCACCTGACTCTAGGGCAGAACTGGTGAGAACCCAGTCCCTTCTGGCACATGGCATGTTAGTGAAGAGCACAGATGTCAGACAGTACATTGGCCTGGCCAAGGGAGGGAGGCTGTACAGGGCCCATGGACAGCCCAGGGCTGTGGGTCAGAAGTGGATTCCCATCTGGCTCCACAGCTCAGTGTTTATTTTGAATCTCATTCTTCCACGAGGGCCATAGCTTGATCTCGAACCAAATCAGGGTGCCCCTCTGTAGCTCTGTGGGTTCATCTGTGCTCCCTAGTACACAGGTGGAAAGAAACCAATTATTCCATAGTGCCAGTGTTCACTGATACATCTGGGACACTCTGCTTCTTTTGTGGTCCTTTTGGGTAAGTAGAGATCGCTCGCCTTCTGGGAGGTATCAGTCCCTACATACTGGGCACCAAGCTGTCCTGGGGTCTGAGTGGCTCTCCCTGAGCAGGGCCACTGGTCCTGGATTGCTCTTTAATCCCTGTTTGCAGCCACAGCCATGGAGAAAGGCCCAGGGCCACTGGCTCAAGACTCACCAGTGTCCCCCCTCCTCCCTTTGCTTGACTCTTCTCCCCTGTCCTCAAACCAGCAGGTCTCTTTTCTTATCTAGATGATGAAGAAGCACATTTTCATCAGTCTATGCCAAGAATCTTTCTGTTCCCCCCAGAGTCAGACTTTGAAACTCAAAAGTCAAGTAGTTAGAGAAGAATGCAGCTGCCCACATGTAGGAAAGCCCCAAGGCTTTGGTGGGGGGAGGCAGATAAAATGGCATTTCAAAAAGTATCCCATTACACGCCTTATCTTATTTCCTTTCCGTTTACTAAGAGCCAAGGGGTGGATTTAGTAAGAGTCCAGGGATGCTCTTTTGCTGAAATCCATTCAGGTGCATATTTAGAAAGGCCAGAAACGCTTGTCTAATGATCAACATTTACGACGAAAGCAAAGCCTTAAGTCATTCATTTTAATCTTCAGATTAAAGACATTTTGGCCTCTAGGAAACTCAGCCATATTTCTTGGTCTCTTATGCCAACTTTTATTTTCTTTAGAAAATACACACTGAATTCTTGCTGGTGTCAGCAGAAGCAAAAGCCCAGTGGCCAAAGGCCCCAGGTGCAGCTGGTTCTGGCTGGAGCATCAGTGTACTGGGGCAGCAC